ATTATTCAGTAGGTCTATGAAAGGAAATAACATGGCATGCCAGTTTTTTTGCTTTTGTTTTTAAAACAAAATAAATATTTGTTAAAAAAATAAATGAAATTAAATAATAGAAGCTTTTGTTTATGTGATATTTTGTGCCATAAATAACATGGGTGATGCATTCAGAAATAACATGAACATTAATTATTAATTTTTATTCAATCATTACAAAATTTTAAATTTTGAAGAGCAAACTACTTTTTTTCTAAAATTTATAACCGATTGTTATTGCTAAGTATCGCTTTTTTTGCATTAATTAAGATTAATTAAGATAGGCATGGGTAAAGTAAATATTACTTCTCCATTTTTTTTTTTTGAAAAGTTTATTTCAGATTTTGTCACGATATCTGTAAAATGACATATGAAATTATTTGTTCATTAAGAGTAAAAGAAGAGGAAGGGATAAAAAGAGATTGTGCAAATAATCAAAATGTATGCTTTTCTCGTGCAATGTTAAGCGACTATTTTTCCGAAGAAAAATAAAATAAAATTGAAAATGAGTTATTATCAGTTGCTAACAGAATTGATAAAAGTTACGAGTAAAATAACCATAACTGCCATTTGTAGCAAAATTAGCAAAGCAAATTAATGCGTACTAATTAATTAATTTAGTTCAAACATCATAGCAGAATGATAGTGAGCGTAATTATTGGAATAATTTTATAGTATCGTCCTACGGTAGGCATAAGAACAATTATAACAGAAATATGAAATAGGTTGAAATGATTGAAAGAAATGATATTATCAATCAGGAAATTGTATATTTGTAATATTTAATTGCACTTTTCCTTCTCCTTTTATAATTAATTAAATTAAGATTTTGATTTGAGCATAAATTTGTTCCCTACGATTCAAATAGCAAGCCGAACAATCATTTCGATTATTCCTTTAGTAGGAGAGGAAAATATATGTTTTTGTTAATTATAAGGTATATTTGAATTGGATAATCAAAAATTCTCATTCGTTACCTCTAAATTGCCATTTGAATTTTCCTTTTTTTTTCTCAATGTTTTACATTTTTGATTGTCTGATTCAAATTATGTCTCAAATTAACAACATTTATTTTCCTTTCCTATTAATGGAATAATGGAAATGATATTCAGTTATAAGTGAATTAGATTTTAGATTATCTATTGATTGTCACGAATCATCACAGCATTACGGCTTACTTCATTTAGTTAAGAAGCATTTCAAATTTTTCAATTAGTAAGATGATCACTTTGGCTGGTTACATGTGTATCATATTGTAGTATAATATCATTTATAATAGAGTACTGATTTGTTATATTAATATAATAATAATTATTTTACTAATGGATACAGATATTTAGGACTTTAAGATTTGTTAAATTATATTTGGAGTATTCCTTTTACCTACTGCAATGAGTAGGCAAGGATTAAATAAATTGCATAAAGCTTAAATTATAAAAGTTATAGCATAAATTATAAAAGTTAAATTATAAAAGAATAGATGTAGCAGAGCGTTGATATAAATATCAATTTCAACTAGTTATTTTAGAAAAGTAAATATCAGTAATTGATTTAATTACTTTCAAATGAACATTTAAGTTTGATTAGTCGATTGGAAATAATAAATGCAATTAGTTGATTTGAAGAAATAAATATGATTATCAATCATTCGATAAACTAATTTCATGTCATTTTTAAATTAATAAACTTTCTATGACGATGCCGTTGCTTCCATTCATCGTACCGATGAGACTAAAAACATGAAATGAAAATGGATCTAAATGTTTCCTAATTTAATGATTATTTCTCGATGTTTCTAAAGTTCAATTTCCCCTTAAATCTGTAGTTCTTTGTATGTGTTTATGACTATATAAACATATGTAAGTACCTGTGTTTACTGAAATACTTAAATAAATAAATAAATGCAGTAAAAAAATAACTGCTAATTTGCAAATTTTGAAATTTCAACGTTTGTCATTTGTGCTAACGTGCAACATAATTATGATGCAATCACCACTGTGTTTTAATTTTCAACATTTCAAATACATAATATGTCTCGAATTAATTCTAAGCAGTTATTTTAAGCTTTGATTTCAATTCAAATTTTCACATAACTTGCTAGAACTCAAATTTCAATGTACTAGCATTCTTCAGTATTGATTTTTTCATAGCGACACTCTTATTTGAACCACGATAATTCTCCACAACGGATCGATTATGTCAAGTGGCTTTTTCGATTTTACTTTTTCGTTTGGTTGCTGAACTGTGACCTATGGACTTATGATTTTTTTCACGTAACATCTATGACACGTAGCCATGGCACATAACACGTATTGTGGCGTTAAATGTGTAAAAATAGCACAGTTTCTTTCTTTTACTGATTTTATTGCTCGCATTGTCATGATTAACGAACTCTTTCATGCAACGTGTGTGATTCCTACGTGATAATAAAGTATGTGAAAGCAGTATTCACATTCCTGAGATATTTTTCATTTTTTTTGCAACACAATTACTCTTGTTGGAAGTGTTTGTTTGCATAATTTAAATTTATTTAGAATATTAAAAACCTCCCTTAAGTACATAGCTTGCGTAAAGCATTTTATATATAATTGCGATTATGTTTAGAGGATTATAATTGAGAGAGAGAGAGAGAGAGAGAGAGAGAGAGAGGGAGTAAGCAAAGATGTGAAGTTGACGAAATGATCAATTATAGGCATAATTAAAGCTTTCAGTGAGGAGAATATTGTGTGCATCCGATGATCCACTGTCCTTTTGAAAACTAAATAATAATAAAAAAGGAAAAAGTTATTCATGAAAATAATATAACATTTCGAAATATAAATGGTGATGTTATAAACCATTCATTTCCGGATTCCCATAACATGCTTTGCTTTTTAATGTTTTTTTTCATCTTTGTATTATGCCATATTTTTTCTTATGACAATGCCTACCTACTTATGTCATATGCATCTACATCATTGCAAGGTTTTACTTGTTCTCTTTTAAATATTTCAGGAAGTTAATTGACGATTCAGTATCATTTATCATTGTTTTACTGCCTGTCATATATTGTGCTGTTTGAGATTGCCACATAAAGTGGTACCTCAATTATAATATCTCATTCAGATTATCTGCCATAATTCGGGCGATTACAGAGAATAAACGGTTAGTTGCTTCAAATAATAATACGACTATAAATTGTACACTATTACTAACGTTTCATACTTATGGCTGAAATAAAGCGTATTTTTTTTTTTGTTGGTGCCTTAGCTAATGTAAACTAGATGCTTATGTTATAAACGCATCGATAAACCTTTATCTGAGGATTATATTGATTCCAATCGATATAAATTAGTCGCTACTCTGAATAAAATAGTGCAGAAAAATTATCCAACAAATTTAATTCTTAGATCAAAATTCTATGATGTAAAACAGACATAAGTATTTGTAAGCAATTTTTCAGTTGCGTTAGCATTGATTATTCATAACCTATTAATGAAATTGGCTTCTTTCACATGTTTTACAATGCCTAAGTAATTGTTGATACAAAAACATCATGATTCGTTAGGTTCGTAGAAAGAATAAAATTAACCTTTTAAAGTATCGCTTAGCAAGTATCTTTATATTTCGGTTGTCATTTAGAGTGTTTGTTATTTTTGGAATATAACTTTAATAATTGGAGAACAGCACTTACTGCATATTGATTTTCGATCTTTTCTTCTGTCAGTCTTCAGTTTTGGTTCTTTATCGCGATTATAAAATCACTTATTTAGCGAGCTGCTCAATAGTTGGAATATTCCTATGGAAAAGCTAATATTAGTTTTTTTTTGTAAGGTTTAATGATGTCCTACTTTTGTAAGTAAATGTTAATAAGATCAATATTCAGTCTTTTATTTTTCAAATGCCAGTTTCTTATTGATTGTTGCTTTGTTTTTTTTTTTTTGCAGGGTGACGTCAAAAGACGTTTTTGTGAGGGTGCTTAATGACGGAAGCGATTGCAGACCAAGGGAAGCAAAAAAATGATAAATTGCAGAAACACGAAGCAGTAAAAGATGAGAAAGCAGAAGAAAAAGGAAAAGAAGCATTTCAATCAGGTTCGTTTGTTTTGAGTATGTTGTATAATATTATGTGATATTCTTTTCAACTCGTTTATGCGAAGTAATTTCTGGTAAGTTTTTCTGTTTGTACATGGCGTGTCTTTTCAAAGATTTTAGGTCACGAAAACCTAAAGGATTGAGGTTCTCGATAATTGATTTTAGTGACGATCTATGACAAGATATATTGAGCTCTGTGCTTTTCTTAGTTCCGTTAAAATATTTTTAGAACTTATAGGTTTTTTCTTCGATTGGAGAAACGTCTAAAAACAGTTAGATTAAGGATATCTAGAGCTGCAATATTTGTTGTAGTTGAGTGAGTGTTGGTGACAGAAAGATTATCAGAGAAAGTCGGAAGAGGCAAGTTAAATCTTTCTTCAGCATCATATTTGGCAAATAATTAAAAGTTGATCTTTGTTGCTGTGGATGCGTATTTATTAGATCAGGCGTTTTTGGTAGGATTTATTGATTTATTTAATTTTTCCTCGGTATTTCTGTCTTTTGCTGCAAACGTGCTCTTCAGCAGCTGATAAAATCGCGGAACAGAATTCATCATTATCATTGGGGCAGGCTGGTGTAGTCCATAATGATAATGTTCAAACCATTGACGACTTCAAGAATCTCATGTATAAGGTTTGTGTTTCTGTAAAGCGTTTCAAAGTTTCCATACTTTCACGATGGTCGATCGATTAGCAGTTTGAATGTCTTATTCTTCTTCCAGAATAACTTGGTGAAAATTGAGATTTTGAAGACTGGTTTATCTCTCACATAGTAACAACTTATTTATTCGTGATTCGTCAAGATTTTTTTTATGTAACAATGGTCCGGTATCACTTGTACCCGATTTACAGATGCAAGAAACGCGACGTACGATAGTTTTTGCATTGTTAAATGAAAAAAATTTGAAGCAAGATGATGTTGAAATATTAAAACGGGCTTATGCAAGGCTAACTGACAGTCAGACTCATTCGTTCCAGCGTGAAATGTGTACACTTACAACAAAATTGAGTATGAATATCAGAGATGAAACGAGAGGTCTTGAAGTATGTCTTTGTCCAATGCTTATTGTGTTATAGCTGTTGCGAAATGTTTAGTTGCCATTAAAAATTGCTGACCTTTTCTGCTTTAATTGTTACCAGCATTTTTGTTTTAAGTATATTGTGACATTTATTGTAAGACTTGAGAAAAAAGATTCCTGCGTGACTTCACAGATGTCTGAGAAAATTATGGGCTCTTCTATTTAATGGAAACATTTCATATTTCAAAGTTGAGAAAGGTATCTTATTTACAGAAAGACTTAAAATATCTCGATAAGTTGACAAATATTCGAAAAGAACAACCATATTTATCATGGTCAGTGATAATGTCCCGAGTTGATTTAATTTCAATTCTTGCAAATTACCATCCAGAGAGCAGAGAAAAATTTGTGGATGAATATAAAAATGCTGTGAAGTAAGTCTCTGAAAGTTCCTTTCTGCTTTTTTTTACGTTTTTAAGATTTTATTTGTTCGACAAAGAATCTAAAACGTTTTTGAATTTTGTTTTAGATTCCTTCGCACATTTATTACTTTGGATGCGACTACCGATAAGAAACCAATATTTGTCACGGATTGGGATGGTACAATGAAAGATTATTGTTCACAATATGCAACAAATCTTCAAGTAATTTTCTCAGAAATTGTTTCATTTTACTTGAGATGATTTTTATTAAAAAACTTTTTAGAGCACACATCTTAGATATTGATATTTGTTTTGCAATAGTGCGATTCTTTTCAATGAAAAAGGATAAAAAGGCATACATTGATTCGAGCAGTGACATTTTCACATTCAGAAGTTTTTCTTGAATGTAGAATTTGAATTCTATTCTGTTGATTGCTTGTTTTTCTCACAGAAAATTTTTAGCCTGTGTACAGTGCAGTTGGAATGACTCGATTCGCAGGTTGTTTTACCCGTATAAGCGCGGTATTAACAGCAGGCCCACTACGAGGTCCAGGTATACTCGATTTAACAGCTATGCCAATTGATGGTCCTGTGATGTTCAGCGGCTCTTGGGGTCGTGAATGGTGGCTTTCTGGAAAACGTGTTGTACACGAAGATGGCATTACGGATGAAGGTTTCAATGCATTGCAACGCTTGGACGACGAGGCATGTTGTTGCACATTTCACTTTTAATTTTTCCAAATTTTTTGAGATTTGATTTTTTTTCTTCCAGGAAAGGTGTTTCTCAGTTGTCCTTTCTGTTTTCTTAATATCATCTTCTGTTCTTGTAGTTCGATTTTTTTATCGATTGCACGTTGAGTATAGGTCTTCATGAATTGCTTGATGTGAGTACAAATAAAACTGATCGAATAACTTCAGATGAAGGATTTGCTGCATTCATCGGATTATGCTTCATTTGCACTCGTTGGAAGTGGTGTGCAACGAAAGGTAGATCGATTAACATTAGGTGTCCAAACTGTTTGCCATCACGTAACTTCCGAATTGTCCAACAGATATCAGATGGCTGTGAAGGAGCGGATACACCGTGTGGATCCTAATAGTCGAGTAAGTGTTTCAAATTTGGCGCCCGAAATAAAGCGAAGAATGTTTGTGAAGAAATCCAGATAGGATTGCTTAATGTGTCACATGGTTTATTTTTTCTAATTGTGCTGGCAATTCTACTTCTATTTACTGTTATTCTTCATTTTCGCATGAAGTAGGCTGAAAAATTCAGCTCCTAGTTTTTCTGTAGTCTAGTGTCATTTTTTAAGATCTTGGTATTTGATCCATCCACGGAATTAGAAGTTGAAGTAGTTGCACACAGTTCGGGAATCATATGGAATAAAGCCGATGGAGTAGACCGTTTAATAAAAAGTTTGGGTGATTCACTGAAGGCACCAGGAAAGATTTTGATTTGTGGCGACACTCTATCTGATATTCCTATGGTTCGACAAGCAGCGAAGGAAAATCCGAGCGTGAGATTTTTTTTTTTCAATTTTTCTCTTTGATTTTGGGCTGAAAAATACAGTGAAATATGAATAATTCCCAAAGAACTTTACCTTATTAATGACATTTGCTCCCAAATTTTCTAACACATGCTTTTAAAAATGTAAGACATTATACAAAGATGAAGTAAGCAATGTAGTTTTTTGTATTTCTGAATTTTTAAACTTAGCTTTAATGTCACTTTTGGAGGTTCAAATCACCGTTGTTGATAAGTTGTAAGCTGTAGTGAAAAAGCTTCTTCATTTTCCTACGAATGAGCGATGAAGCCACAATGATGTGCTTTTCAGCATCACTTGCTGGAAAAGGTTCATTGCGCAAGTTGTTTATTATTGGAGTATGTCTACTTTTGAAATATAACTACATGCACGATATTTCAATCAATTACCTTAGGTTTTGATTTTTTTAATCTGAACAATTCTCACATTTTTGAACTGCAGGGTGTAATGGCGATTTTTGTTGGTGCGAAAATGTCATTACGTGAAGAAGTGAAGCAGCTCATTGGTGACGAAAGTCGTTGTTGTTTTGTATCCTGTCCAGATGTCATACATGCGGCAATGTCACAAATTCTGAACGAGCAGTGTCAGTGAATGAATTATGTCGGAAGGTTAAGAGAACAATTATGAAGTGATTCGTGAAACATGAATTTGTCTTTTTTGTTTCTTTTTAAGCGCATATGAAATTACTCGATTTAATGAGTGCATTGAAGAAAAAAAGCGTAGTATATTTTTAGATAATTACAATTTGGTGAATTGTCCTACTTGCAAAATCAAAATATTTTTTTGCAATTTTGAAGTTGAATAACAAGATTAGAATTTATTAAGAAGTGGAATTCATTTTTTTTTAAATTAACGGTGGGATTTTTTTCATAATTTTATTTCGAAATCTTAAGCCATTCAATTGTTATTGGTTAAAGTTTCTGTTCACCGTTTTTCGTTGGAACCTTAACATTGTCACTTGTATACGACGGTTCTAAGCAGTTTGTTGTCTTTTACGAATAGGTAGTACGCAAATATGAAATCATGGATAATAAGGTCTATTGCTTTATAATAGAAAAGAAGAGGACGATGTGTTCTTTTATTTATTCATTGAGTTAAGGATTGTCTTAAAGCGTAAGCTGAATTGTCTTTTGTCTGATTGTCTTTTTTCTTCTTAGTTTAAGTTATCATTGTGCTAACATATGTGTTTTGTGCATTTTACATGTTTAGGTTATCGTTGTTACTAATATTTAGTGTTTCATGAATTTCATAGCTATTATTTTTTATTTACCTTTTTTGTTTTACTAGCTTTACTTTTTCTTTAAATTATAATAAGACTTGATTTGTTCATGCAGTTTATCGCTGTTGAACTGTATGACGTCAAGTACTATCCAAATTATCCCCTACTTCATTCTGCCATGACTGTTATTGCCTTTTGAATTAGGTTCCATTTGTTAGTCTACTAGTCAGATTTGTTTTATCGAATAGCTGGTTTAGACAGGCTTTCAGAAGTTGCCATTAGAACACATAAAAAAAGTGTCTTTTTATCTATCGATGCTTCAAAATTCTTTGTCATTTTAACGGTATTTGCACGAATGAGATTAACGATCCATGTTATCTTGCATTGAATGTCCAATTAAATTTTTCTAAAGTCCTTTTATTTCTTTTTCAAGTTGTAAAATATTTTTGGGCTTACGTTACATAGCAGAAAAAAAAACAGTAAACAATGAAGCAAAAGAATAATTGTATATCTGTATGAAATGAAATGATTTTTTGAAATATTCTTTTTGGATTTCTCAGGATTATATTTATCATTGTATTTTATTTATCATTATATTATACATATAATGCATTTATATGCGTGTGTATGTGTGTGTATGTGTATGTGTGGATGTGGTGTATGTGTGTGTGTAATTGTATGCATTTGTGTGTTTATTCCCGTCGACCTCAATAAAGTGCGTGTATTGTAACTTTTTCGTATTATTTGTGAGATAGCTTCATGGTGAAAGCCAAATATGGTTTATCCATTAAGAGTGATAATGAATGTGAATACTGCGATTGTGAGAATAAGTTAACTTGAGGAATAAGTTAAACCGAGAATGAGTTAACTTTGGTTAACTTCGAGAATAAGTTAGCTTAAGCTAACCTAATTGCGAACATTAGAATAAGTTAACTTAAGAATAAGTTAACTACCGATTTTTGGAATAGATCGAAGTTCGGGATTATTTCGGCGATGAAAACAATACATATTTTATTTATCATTATATTATATAATGATGAATAGAGGAAGGGGCCAGACGGTCTTCAATGCTTTGTGTTACAGATGTAAATTATTAAAAGTAGCGAAGATCGGCAAAAATAACTGCTGGGAAGAATTTTGGGAATAAATAGAAATATTAGTTTTGGGTCTTGAAGTAGAAGTGCCGGTTTTGTTAACTTAGATTTGAGATGCATGGAGATATCGTCAGTAGGAGCAATCGGTTAGAGTGGTTATATCCGAATATGAAAATTACTGTGCTAAAAGTTGAGTGATTAATACATATGCGGAAAGTAGTTTATTATTTGAATTGAAATAAAAATATCCCTCGTTGGTTGTAATGCTTGTTTGTGATTATAGTTATAATTGCAGAACAAAAACAATTTCCAATTAAATCTTAATGTTCAAATATTTGGACGAGGAATCTGATCAAAATTAAAAAAAAAAAAAACAGTAATTTCGGAGATAGAAATTGATGTTTATTTGTTGGATAGCATTATGCATTATATTAATTTATATTCATAATCATTTTTTGCTATCATCGTGTTCGATTATCGAGTCAAAATGTTCGTTATATTTTTTTTCATTTTATTTTTGGTAGTTCTGAAAACGCTTCTAGTATACTGATTTGTAATTTTGTCAAGAAAAAGAGAAGAAAGCAAAGAAAAATGAAAGAAAAGTGAAATATAATCAAATTGATAGTTTCGCTTTTTTTTCCAGTTTTAATATTTATATTAACGAGCGAAATAAATAAGAAAGTATAGGTGATTGGATTAATTTGTAAACTAAGAAAAACTATGGAGAGGTAAATGGTAATCAAATCAAGCAAAAAGAATGGAGAAAAAAGAAAAAGACAAAAATATGAGTGTGAACGAGATAATGAAAAAAATCTACAAAATGTTTGTACTACATTACTTGCCAAATATTTTAGGAAATGAATCGAGATTTAAATCATTCAGACTAAAGACATAAATGGATTCTGTTAATTTCTTCAATATATTTCTTTTAATATTGATTTAGCGATTTGAAATTGCAGCGTACATTGTAACATATGATGGATATTATACAGCAGATATTCGTTATAGCATAATTAGGGAAGCTGTGAAAATTACGGTAAATATTGAGCCCAGGCCTGTTTTATTGAGTGATTTTGATGTCATCGAGGTAATATTTATGATTATTATCAAATTTAATTGCACTCAGATTAATTTAATTTATAAGTAATTGATTTTGATAGTAGGCGATATTAAATTTAAATTTTGAAAATTCGATGATTTTTAGGTTTTGGACTTTGAATAAGTTTTATAAATTCCTTCAATAACTTCTGTTCAATGATTCGAAACGGATGATCAGTTTTGAAAAAACATCTGAATTCGTTATTGTTTTAGCCAATTTTACGATGATTTAAATATTCAGGTATCGGCATGCAATTCAACCGTCTTTGTAGAATCATTACAACGATCCATTCATACAAGACATGTTGCAAGTAATAATCGTTTCACAGCGGCGTTGCCTAAAAAACTATTAGTGAGTCGAAGGCGTCATTCTGATGATAACGAAATTCGTTATGTTACCAAACTCCTTAATGTTGATAAGTTATGGAATATGGGATATAAAGGTTTTTTTTTTTTTTAACTTTTCAAACTTCTCAATTTTTTAAGTAAAAATTTTCGTTCTCTATGTGGTTTAGAAAAGTATTTTAGGCATAGATATATGAAGAGCTTTTACATAATATTAATCTTGGAATTGTGCGTATGCTTGGGATATCAGAAGTCTACATGTGTTGGCATATGATTAATATCGAAAGCTTTCAGTGATCATGTTTTAAAAGTGCTAATAATCCTGCTGATTTTAGTAATTAAAATTAGAGGAAATTGATATTAGGATTTAGATTTCAAATTTATGATTTATTTGATGTAGCATAAAATTGCAAGTTTCATGAACTAAAGAAAGTAAAGCTATCGCAACAAACCATTTGTAGGGCAAGGTGTGAAAGTTGCGATTTTTGATACGGGCCTTGGTAAACATCATCCTCATTTCCAGCAAATTGTTGAACGTACTGACTGGACAAACGAGAAAACTGCTGATGACGGTTATCATACTTTAATTTCATATTATCTGCTTTTTTCGTGAATTTCAGAATAAAATAACTTAAAGAATTTGTTATAATTCAGGTCTCGGTCATGGTACTTTTGTTGCTGGTTTAATAGCTAGTTCAGATAAGAGATGTTATGGATTTGCTCCTGCTGCTAGTATTTATGCTTATAAAGTTTTTACGAAGAAACAAGTTAGTTTTAGGATTTCTTTGACATCGGTAAATCAAACATGAATATGTTTGTTAAAATGCTTTTTGATTAATACTAGCATTTTTAAATTTCCATGTAGTATTCCTATGTATTCTTATCGGCATTTAAGTTTACTGAAATTAGTTAGAACAGTAATGGTCAAGTGTTTTTAGTAAACATTCATTAACATCTGATATTTCTATATGTTTTAAAAAACCGTTGAAGTCAACAGGAAAGAATTTTCCTAGAACGAATTAAAATCGTTATTTATAAAATTATTACTCAGTATTTGATTTCAGATTTCGTTTACCTCGTGGTTTCTTGACGCTTTCAATCATGCCATCCTGCGGGGTGTAAATGTCCTGAATCTCAGGTAACTTAATTGTGTTGTTGAATAGAACTGAAGAAAATAGAGTACTTAAATCAGAAGTCTAAAATTTTGAAGTATACTTGAAGATAATGATATAAAATGAAGCGAGTAATAGTTTGGTTGCTTTCAGCATTGGTGGTCCGGATTTTACTGACCGGCCATTTATGGATAAGGTATGGGAACTAACCGCGAATGGAATTATTCTCATTTCAGCAATTGGAAATGATGGACCAAAATTTGGGTGAGGTTTTTTGAGCTTTTTAACGGAAACAAAATACACCAACTTTTTTCATTAATTTTAATGTTGAAAAAATTTCAAGTTAAAAATGTAAACAGCTTTTTTATGTTTTTACCCTTTATGAATTTTTGTATTTTTCAGGACTCTAAATAATCCAGCGGATCAAATGGACGTTATTGGTGTTGGCGGTATAAATGGTGATTCTAAAATTGCACGTTTTTCCTCACGTGGAATGACCACTTGGGAGCTACCAGGTAAAGTGATTTTCGTAAAAGATCTTTCTGAAGCTTTGATAATTGGTTATTGAATGTAAATAAACATATTTCATGATTGAAATTTGTATTTGTGCTCATATTTTATATAGGTGGTTATGGGCGAGTTAAGCCGGATATTGTTTCCTACGGTGCCTCCGTCTATAGTTCTTCCTTAGACGGTAATTGTCGTGCTCTTTCTGGTACTTCCGTTGCATCACCGGTAGTTGCTGGAGCGGTAGCTGTAATGCTGAGGTAGAGTGTTATTTGTGAGCGGCTAATTTGTTTTGCGAACTTTGGAAAAGATTTTCAAAAATTTGGAGTACGAATATTTTTGCAGGTTCTGTTCAAGAAAGTTTTTGTGTTCTGATGTTTCAAGTTCAAGAAATCAAAACAAGTCTAAAGTAAATATCTCAAAATAAATGATTCCACGCGCAATCTAATATGAAAGCTGAAGAGTTGAAATTCTGCGATTGACCAGTTTTTACTTTTTCTTTTTTACATTGAGTTTACAGTGGTATCGAAGATAAACGTTTGTGGAATCCTGCAGTTATAAAACAGGCATTAGTGGAAGGTGCAACCAGGCTTCCTAATGTGGCAACAATGTTTGAACAAGGAGCTGGTAAAATGAATATTCTTGCATCATTCCAATTCATGCGACGATATTCTCCACGAATCACGTAAATACTTGCCGTGAATTAATGTATAATTAAATTTATGCTATTTTGATTAAGTAATAAATTGATTGGTGAGGATTCGTAATCTTCTTGCTCAGCTTTTTCTTAAACGAAATAGAAACAAAAACTGCTAGTATAAGAATAGAAAAATAATCACAGATATAAGAATAGAAACAAATATACTAAATTTCAGTGGTTCGATTTCCAGCGATATCATTCTTAATTTAACAAATAAATGGAGAGAGTTAATGCAGATTTTGCGAGTCAGATTAGATATCATATCTTAAGGGAAAATTTTTTCTTGTACTATATGAAAAAAATAATTTTGAAAGATAATTGCATAATTTTAGTTTCATTCCACCATATATTGACTTTAATGAATGTCCTTATATGTGGCCGTATTGTAGTCAACCACTTTACGCTTCCGGTATGCCTACTCTCATTAATGTAAGTTATTCTACATAGTGGGACGAATATGCCATATGGTGCATAAATTTCATATTTTTCATATTTTACAGTTATTAACAATGACTACGAGTGTCCATTGCGAAAAATTAAAAAGCAAAGCATAGAACTTAAGGATTCCTGAGAAAAATAAAATTTTTCTTTCGTTTTAAGTTATCTCAAAACCTACATGATTAGAATGCAATGCGAAATTGCAGATTACGATCGTTAATGGAATGGGTGTGTCTGGTCGAATAATTGCAGAGGTAAGTATATGATTTAAAATTCATATTTTATTTTTAGCTAATTTTAGCGTGTAGTTTTTTAAGAATTAAAAAAAAATCATTTAGCCAATATGGGAGCCATTTTTGGATGAAAACGGTGATTTGCTGAATGTTTCAATATTATATTCGGATCTCTTATGGCCATGGTCAGGTTATATGGCAGTTATAGTAAGTGTTATGCCAAATGGATGTAATTTTGATGGAACTGCAAGCGGACGAATCAGTGTTACAGTCACAGTAAATTTGTTTGCTTTGTTTTTTTTTTTATTTTCCGAGGTTAATAATTGTTTCTTCTTTCAAGATCAACAATTGATGTCAGTGCATATGCCTTTTCCAAAATTCAAAATTAGAGGCATAATCGATTAAACATCAAACATAAATATTACAAGTGAATCTTTTTTTCGAGAACACTAAAATTAAGTTTCATTTTAGTCAGATGAACGTGGTGGACAAAAGCAGTCAACTGCATTATTACCAATACGAGTTCGTGTCATTCCGACGCCCCCAAGAAGGTTAACTTTTACAACTTTATGTTTCAACGTAATTTTTTTTTCCATTTAAGTAGAACACACAGCCTTATTTTCAAATTTGTTTAATTATTTTTCATGAAAGAATAAAATTAAAGGCATGAAACTGAAAATGAAACATCAAGGAAAAGAAATGCTAGGGAAAGTTGGAAGAAGAGAGCAATCGAATATAAATTGAAGTTTTTAAGAAAACAAAAAATGGGGTATTTCAGCCAGCGATTGTTATGGGATCAATATCGAAACATTCGCTATCCGCCCGGATATATTCCACGTGACGATTTACGTGACAAGACAAATATACTAGACTGGAATGCTGATCATCCACATACTAATTTCAAACCACTTTATCAACATCTTCGTAGCAGTGGTTATTACATTGAGGTAGACTTAAAGTCCAAAATTTTAATTTGGTTATTAAATTTAGCAGCGGTATGTAAGAGAGAGGAAAAGGAGAGATATTTATTTATTTTCGAAAAGCTTTTTCAATAAGTTCATATCTCAAATCTTCATATTTGATGTGAATATTATTTATATACTTTGATGAATAGGTTTTTGCAGGTTATGTTTTTGTTGACTCACTTGAATTAATTTTTAAGTTCAAAATCAAATTATTTTTGATGTTCAAAACTAACCATTTTGACCATGTTAAGATAGAAAGTTAAATCGCCGAAGTGGACGGATTAAAATAATTGCTTTGACGGCTGTCTCAGGAACCTTTTCTCAGAAGGAATGCCGACTATGTCAAGCTGGTGGATATACAAGAAATAATCTTAAATACCTGCATAATTCCGATGTTTAAATTTAAATGTATCTCAGTTGCGAAGAAAAAAATCACATTTTTTCAACTGAGTTAAAGATACAATTTTTGTCAATTCTTCATACACGTCAATTTTTTTAGGTTTTAGGCGAACCTCTTACCTGTGTGGATCTGAGCCAGTATTCAGCTTTTTTAATTGTTGATCCTGAGGATGAATTTTTTCCTAACGAGCAACAGAAACTTTATGACGAAGTAAATAATGCTAACCTCAATTTGATCATTTTTGCGGATTGGTACAACACATCTGTAATTGAGAAAATTCGATTCATGGACGAAAATACCAAGTATGCCAATTTTGCATATATATATATATATATATATATATCAGATTTGATCTCAGGAAATGTATTCCCTTATTTCATCATCATATGAGCTTAACAGCCGCAAGTTAATGTGAATTAAAATGAACATATGTCTTTGACGTTTTGAATAAATCATAAAAGATTATTATGGCAGAATTTAGAGTTATTACTTAAATTTATTCCAGAAAGCATTTATATTGTCTTATCAGGAATTAATCTGTTCAGTTGTGCAATCCTGATAAAAAAATTTGGATTTCTATCATCAAGGACTTGTAATATAGAAGTTCCGAAAAGCAATATGTGTAAAAGTTAAAGTTTTTGAAAAAACAAATGAGTTGAACTTCAGCTTGTCTTTTTGAATTCGAGAAATCAAGAACTTTTTATAGTAAACTAATTTATCTTTCAGAGAGTGGTGGGAACCAGAAACTGGAGGGACAAATTTACCGGCTTTAAACGATCTTCTTAAGAAATGGAATATTTCTTTGAGCTCACATGTAAGATTGTCTTTCATACTGAAATGAAACGATGTTTTTTGGCACAAAATTGAAGAAATTTCTGTTGCAGTTCATCATTGGCAATTACGTTTTAGCTCTGAAATAAGTTGCTTATAGTCACAGTGGCCAACGGTCTTAGCTGACTTTTTTTGTTATCTTTGCTTAAGGCGCTGATGTTCTACAGGTTCTGGATGGTATAGCCACTATAGGACAAACACCAGTGAAATACTTGTCAGGAACATCAATATCTAATGCTCCATCTCATGCCTTCATTGCATTATCCAATTTAATTGATTTGGTTAATTATTTTTCTGGAAAGAATTTTCAAGTAAAAGCGTAAAGTGACCTTTTTTCGCAAGTCAAATTATAATCGTTTAAAATTATTTACTATATTAAAATCCTCTTAGCTTGTTCGGACATTGTCTGTTTGTGGAAATCCTTTCATATCTCGTTATTGGAAGCAAGCGATAAACATCGATATAAACTATATTTGTAGTAACAAGGATTTTAAAGTAGCCTATATTAAATAAAGTATTATTATACTAGTTCATTTTGAGATCGGGTGGTTACATTTTTTCAGGGCGAAGAGATAATAGCAGATAAAAAAGTTGATCAGTTGTATGAGGAAGCCATTTTCTTGTACTACAAAAATGACACTTTATCAAAAACGTAAGTTAGAAAGTAATTCATTTTAAATGACCGTCATAAAAGAAGCTCCAATCGGGGATTTCAAGTGTGGATGTGATGCACCCTCTGGATTGAATGTAATTATTATTTTAACTATTTCAGCTCATTTTATGAACTTGGAATAATAAGACTGATTTTCTCTCAGGGAGTTATAACTTCGTTAAATAGCAAATCTTGCCGGAGTTTCTTCTCTTTATGTTTCAAAGTATTTATTTATAGCATAGCATATCAGTGCATTCTGTAGTATAGAATATTTGCATCATACGATAGAATATTTAATGAAATATTTACATGCATCATGAGATATATCAGATATATTTCAAGTACTGTTGTGTTAATTACAGTATTATACCTGAGGTTAGATCAATTGTTAAAGGTCTAATATTAAAATTTAATTTAAAATTGATTTTTTTCATCATTTGAATCCTAAACATCTCTTTTTTTATCGGATAACTGAAGAAATGAAGTTAGGCCAACTATTTTATATATTATTTAAAAATCTGATATGAGAATTCTTAGCTGATGGTACTTATTCTTTTAACCTAATCTTCAGTTTCTAAATTTTTCTGAATATTTTAAACAATTTATGTTTAGGTCGGGCTTTGTGGCAATTTTTGGTGATAGTTCATGTCTTGAAGTTAGCACAACATCGGATGCAAAGAGTTGTATCTTTTTGTTGGAAGCACTACTTGAAAGTGCATTGGAAGGTGATTTGATCGAAAGTTTGCGTCAATCGCTTGTACTTGTTAGTATTTTTTTTCATATTTTTGATTTATACAATATCATTTCATCATCAATGCTACAATAGATAATAATCAAGTGAAAAATTCCGTTATTTTCCAAGATAAATTCTACTGATAAGTAAAATATGTAATAGCGATGCTGTCACTAACTATCAAAAATTAAGACCCATTTGCAATACTATTATCTTGTGTTTTCACATGATCTAATTTTTATCTAATTTTTTCACATGTTTTTTTTACTATATTCCTACATATTGATAGTTAAATTATCGGTGATTTGAATATGAGCATGGATATAACTGAGAATAATATTTAGTAGATTTGAAGAAAATTTTGATTTCAATTTTTTTAGATCATTTATTCAATCAATTTACTATTTGAATATGTGTTTCTGTAAACGAAAGCTTTTGATAATATGAAGAAGTCAATTTTTTATTTGCAGGCTGGTACTGCATTATCTTGGAAGCATTCGCAGAATTTACCACTTCCAAAGAGAATGACTACTACGAATTTTGCAAAATATTCAAAAGTATGGAGTAAATTAATTTCTAATTCAAAAGATCCGTATTAAAGCATTTTTTTTCCTGGGAAACAACACTATGGATATTGTAAAAATTTCTTAGAATTTTATTAATTATTTTGCTGGAAACGTACTTCATGAAAAATGAAAGATGAGATAAAGAGTCGACATTAAATCTTTCAGCAGAAAGCAAATTGATTTTAAAATTTCTTAAAAAATGTTATAGGTTATACTAGATGTGTCAGCGAATGCTGAACCAGTATATAGAGAAGATCCAAAGTGTCGGATTTTATGGAGTGCTGTTTCGCAGCCGGTCGCCAACGTCACTCTTTCATCGTAAGTTCATATATTTCGTCAAAATCTCACTTAAATTTGTTTAAAAATTGGACTAACAAAGTACTTCAAAATATTTACGCTAACGCTTGAATAATGCAGGTTCTAACTTAGTGCAAGTTTTAACTTTCTTAAAGGTAATTCTCGTAGTAGTCTGATTTTCATTTCTGTTAAAGCAGAACGGCATAATGGTGGGAAATTTAAATTAATCAGGTAAGAGATTTTAAACTGGTGTTATTTTAAAATTTCACTCTCTACCTTAAAAAACTGAGCTGAACATTCAGATTAAAAACTTCAATTTATTAAAATAACCCATTCTAAATTAACCAGATAAAAATTTTTCAACGCGGATGATGATCCATTTATTTATCTCTTATTTATTTGCCTGGTTCATATGTTGTAAATTGTTTCAGAGATTTGAGTGGCGGTCGTTTGAGGGATGATCATACAAATGTTCCAAATGAAAATCAGCTTTCCAATGAATTAACTTCTGCGCAGGTTATATTTATTTATTAATTTCACATTTTTTGTGTCTTTGATAATTTGGATTTTTTATCATTATTTTTACAGCTTCATGAAATCGTCCAATTTTTTGATACGAATGGAGAAAATAGTGTTGAACAAACATATTCGTTAAGTTTTAACAATTGGTTTAATTTTGGCGATAGCATTTTCGTGTGGGGCTTCATTTTCTTTGTTATAATTATCATGTATTGTCGTATCATGGTACGCCATTTAGTTTTACGTTTTCGAATCTTTCGATTTATGTTAAGGCGATTGCGAGTATTGTGATAATCCAATCCATGTACCTATCTCTTCATTTATTTATTTCTTTGTATTTTTTTTTTATGTAGTTTTATTACATTTTTTACAGATTTTGTCGGTAATGATGATATCATGATATCAGCTGGCACCATTACTGATGAGTGTCATTTGATGGTGTGGCCCATAGTATACTTCTGTTTATAGTAATAGATAGGATTAGGGCACTAGGCTTAGCAATATTTCTTGCAAAAAAAGAGTAGATTATAGATTAGTGAAATAAATGGTGAAAAAAATTTCGGTGATAGAAGCATGTAAAAAGGAAGCTTATCCAAAATTGTTTAAGAATTGATAGATTGATAGTTCCGAAATAAAATGGAGCTGATAAATAGTTTAGGGAGAATACTTGAAGATGTGTGCGAAAATCCTCAGTTGCGAGCGGACTACTTTTTCCATTCCGGTCATGACACTTTTAATTTATTCTCCCTTTCCAGGTGATACCAACAATTTTCAGGAATTTATTACGGGTTATTGTTTACAAAGATTTAATATTAATTGTTAAAATGTTTTGCAAATATAATTTTTTCCTTTATAAAAATTTCAGTTTGATTCCCCACTTGATGCATTTTAATTCCAATAATTTGTCAAGCTGTAAAAATGATTCTGATTCTCAGTGGGCATTTATTGGCGGGAAATTTGATTTTTGAAATAGAAAATTAAACGGAACTATTTTGTGCATTTCTAAGGACTGTAAGGGTGATACGTGAAGGGGTCGTTTTTTTTTTATCACTTTGTATGACGTGCCTGAGTGTAAATTAAAGCTTTTACTTTATCGGCTGAATTACTGCACTGAAATCCATAGGATCCATGGGACTTTGTTGGGAGAAATTATCATAGTTACATACTGATTCAGATGTATGGCTTTTGTTTTTTAATTGGGGTTTGTTGCAAAATATGGTTCAGAATTGTTAGTGGGTTTTGAAATTTCCAAAATTTGTGGTAAGATCGGATTTTACAATTTCATTTTGTGAATTTGGTATGCAATTGATAAATGTTTATTTCTTTAATGTTGTTCTACATACTTCACGTTTTCCATTTCATTTAATATACAGAGTTATCACTTCTCGAAATTTATGACGAGATATTGCACTAGAAAACATATGAATCTGAATTGTAGTTAGGGATTATGAAAGTTTTTAGTGATGTATCAAAGTGATCAAGAACATAAATGAATGTGGTTGTTGCGGCAGATTAGATAAAATACCTCATAATATCTCTTTAATATAGACAAGTTGAAACTGAAGTTATCGATGCAAAATTCAACAAATATCGCTGAGCATTGCTTGTTGAAAGGTTACTGAACTGACCTGTGATGCAGAATGTAAAGTGTTTGGATGGTTGATATCATTACTAAGCTTATCATTAAAACAAATAACTTTAAGTTACTGAAAATGTAATGTCACTATATTTATCATAAGCTTAATGTGCAAGAATGTGCAAACAATACGTTCAGTCTAAAATTTTAAATCGGGAATCTCCAATTTTAAAACTTTCCCATAATTCTATACCTTTCGGAAGTTATAATTTCAGGATGAGCTACAAATTGAAGTTTCTCTTTTGACTATTAAATTAACTTGATAAATGTTGTGCAATTGATTATTGAAAAATTACTATGCGATAAATTCTCCTTGTTGAAATTTGTTTTATTTTGTTACCAAGGTTCTGTTGACTTGTCATAAATTAATCAGTAATGTGTATGAAAAGCATTAGAACAGAAAAAAGAATTTAAACCAAGTTCTTGAGGAAATGAAATAGTTTCAGTCATTTCATTTTCTCGTGAATTTGATTTGAATTTTACCCGCCATGAGCCTGTGTGGGATCAATGCACATTTTTTATATGTAATGATTCTTTTCACGTATTTAAGTATTGCAGAAAGTATTTGCATGGCTTAATACATGGTAGTTAACTTTGTGCAAAAAATGCTTAATCCAATTAAACACACGCGGAAAATACATGCAAAAAATTTATGACTACTTATATACTTAAATACTAGCAAGAACTACTTGGATTGCTTAAATATTTCACAAGTGCTTGAAATACTTAGCTCAACGTAAAAAGTATATTTGATGCCTGCCAATACATATTTTAGGGGGGTTAATCACTGCTGACATGAAAGGAACAGAATTCTTCGTCAGAAGAAACAACATTGTTATGTTCAAAACTTTCCTTAATTATTTACTTTCAGGTGTTTTGAGAATTAAAAATTTTCGAAAATTGGTTTTATACTAAGGCGATAGATTTCATTGAAAAATGTGCGATTCATCAGAAGTCATTGTTAGTTTATTCATGAAATTTGTCTAAATTAATTTCAATTATCTCATATACGACCTGTGCTTTTTTAATGTTATGTATTGCTTTGAAGTAGTGTAAATATCAAAACCGGATTGCCGTCTTTCACATATTTATTCATTCTAATGTGTCTGGATATCACGAAATGTTAGTTTGAATTGAACTGAGATTGGTTACTTTATGCTAATTTTTTAAACATTTATTCATGATGGAACATTTTTGAATACAAATGATGTGTTTGTTGCTGTAAGTTAGTTATTCTGTTTTGCAAAATAGAGTACTTTTCGTTTTAGTCGATTGATTTGGATGAGGACTCATTTGCTTCATTGTCACCGCCACCGAAATTGAGCAAAAAGGCATCTGCTAAAAGAGCAGTAAAACCTGGTGGAAGAAAGAAAGCTGAAAAACCATGTAAGTTACGTAATAAATGTGATTAAAGTGTTTTTTATTATATTTCCATTTTTTTAGGGGTATTTCATTTCTTTTCTTTGTAGCGGCAGAAATAACTGCAGAAGATCCAATGGATGTGTTTATGGATTTAGAGAAAGAAGAGAAGGAAAATAAAGGAAAACGACTAAGCATTGAGAAAATATATCAAAAAAAAACACAACTTGAACATATCCTGCTACGACCTGATACATACATTGGTTCCGTGGAATATACCGATCGAGCTGTAGGTTTACTGTTTTGTTTACTTGTGAGTGATCTTTTATGTCTTCGAAAGAAATAAATCGCTTCGAAATCTTGAAATTTTTCTCGGAAATGCCAATTTATGCAATACATTTTGAAAATTGCAATGAAAAAAGTGAGCGGGTCAGTGCGATTTGTTTTTTGCAGAAATCATAAATCTGTATCTGATTAAAAATACGTTATTATATTAATCCATTATTTTCTTGAATAAATTTAAATTTAAAAATTTTTTCAATGGATGCAAAAGTAATTCTTGAAAGTTATAGTCAATGTGGGTGTACGATACAGAAACTGATCGAATAATTCAACGTGAGATCTCATATGTGCCAGGTTTGTACAAGATATTCGATGAAATATTGGTGAATGCTGCTGATAACAAACAACGAGATCCAAAAATGAATCTTATTAAAGTCAACATTAATAAGTAAGTTGATAATCAAAATTTCCCTCTCATTATCCAATGGCGGTCGGAAGAACTATCAACAAGCATATATTCAGTGTATAGTAAGAAACAAATGTTAGTTTCTTACTAACAAATGTTATCAATGTTATTATCGAATACATCGATAATAACATTGATAAATTGCTATAGTAGCAAATTGTCTAATGTAGTAATGAGAATTAAATACAGTTAGAGCATTTCCTATCCTTAAATTCAGCTAATAATTCATCCAAATAACACAACTAGTTTATCCTTTCAATAATAATAATAATTGATGAAATTTTTAGGCAGGAAAATGAAATTACTATATTTAACAATGGCCGAGGTATTCCAGTTGTGCTGCATAAAATTGAAAAATTGTACGTCCCCGAACTTATATTTGGTACCCTGCTTACCTCATCAAATTATGATGACAGTGAAAGGAAAGTTACAGGTAGTTTTTTTAATTTTTCGTGCAGTCATTGACTTAAATATTATTGCTAAGCAATTTATGTTTCAATAATTGTGGCTTTTGTTTCGTAGCATTGAAAACTTCTTTTACATATGGCACTGAGTGGAACACATAATAGAAAATTTCTATTTTCAAGAACATTATCAGCAAATTTAGAAAGCGTGTAAAATAAAAATCTAACATACACAGTTAGCTGCAAAACCTTTCAGGTGGCCGAAATGGTTATGGTGCAAAACTTTGTAATATATTTAGCAAAGAATTCACTCTGGAAACTTCTACTAGTGAGTATGGGAAGGCTTTTAAACAGGTCTTCAAATTTTTCCTTTAAAATTTTTCACCATTCAATTTGCATTCTGGATTTCCAAATTAAACTTTAGATGCTAAACTTGATCATATTTGTAAATTAAGCAATCATATTTTTCTTCAATCTTAGACATGGATCAATAATATGTCAAAAGATGAAGAACCAAAGATAATGGACAGTAGCAGAGATGACTTTACACGAGTAATTTTCAAACCAGACTTAGCAAAGTTTAAAATGACTAAATTGGATGATGATATTGTGGCATTGATGTGTCGCAGAGCTTATGATATTGCTGGCTCAACAAATGGTGTAAAAGTTTTCCTTAACAACAGACAAATTCCTGTATGTTTTTGAAAATACTATTTTTTCGTTCAATTTATTTAACATTGATCTCGTTGTTTTCACTAGATGAAAAAGTTCCCGTATCCTCAAAGTGATACTATTATAGCCCAGCTGCTACTTTTTCCTGATTCATGCATGATCCGTCGGTGTTGTCAGTTGTCAAATTCTCTCGTGGCTTAAAAACAGATTCTTTTTAAATGATTTTTCAAAATCTAGGTGCAAGGCTTCAAACAATACGTTGAACAATACGTGAAGCACAGTGTTGACAGTAATGGTGAAGCGTATAAGGTGATTTATGAATCAGTTAACCCGCGCTGGGAAGTGGCACTCACAGTTTCGGATAAAGGCTTTCAACAAATCTCATTTGTAAATAGTATTGCCACCACAAAGGTTTCTTTCTTTCCGAATATGAGGTCGTGAGTTCTCCAAATTTATAGATTTGGTAAAGATAGTTGATTTTACACATTGTGGTTGATAGCGTGATCTTAAATACAATGCATCATTGTTTGCATATTTCATCGATTTTAATCCATTCATTATGCATTTTGAATTTCAACTTCCGAAACATATTAAGCATGTTTTTCAATAAAAGAATAAAAGGAAAGTGAAAGTCTATTCAATTTCTTATTTTTTAGGGAGGTCGACATGTTGATTACGTTGTAGATCAGATTGCAAGCAAATTAATTGATGTGATTAAGAAGAAAATTGGTAAAAGTGGTGGCATTAGTGTAAAACCATTTCAGGTAATTTTAGTTTCCAATAATTTTCATTGCTGAGTTTTATTCACCAAAGAAATGATGAAAAAAATACTATTTTTGTGCAAATGTCAAGTAAATTATCTAAAGCTCGAGAAAATCTTGTAGCAATTTTGATAGTGAACTTCGATAAGTCACTCTGCCATCTGCAACGCTATAGTGAGTGATCAGATAGTTTCGGTCGCTCAGTTTTTCAGATCAAGAATCATATGTGGATATTTGTTAATGCACTTATCGAAAATCCAACATTTGATTCTCAAACAAAGGAAACGATGACGTTGCAATCAAAAAATTTTGGTTCAACATGTGAGCTCTCGGAAAAATTTATTCAAGCAGCATTGAAATGCGGAATTGTAGAAGCAATTATGACATGGGTGCGATTTAAACAACAGGAAATATTAGATAAAAAGTGTTCGTCTAAAAAGACCAGCAAATTAAAGGTACATTATTTGAAATACAAAAACAGAAAACGTGTGTTTAATTAAAGACTTTTATTGCATAAAGTTATAAATTAATCCATTTTATATCTCCTTTTATTATTGGTTCTATCTATAGTTTGAATTTTCACCGAAGCAAATTAAAGCTAGCTTATATAGGGTGTGCCAAAGTTGGAAGATGCTAACGATGCTGGTACGAAGAATTCGGCGCAATGTACGCTTATTCTTACAGAGGGCGATTCAGCAAAATCGTTGGCTGTTTCAGGTCTTGGGGTTGTGGGGCGTGATAAGTATGGTGTCTTTCCTCTTCGTGGTAAAATGCTTAACGTTCGAGAAGGCAACCATAAACAGGTAATCAACTAAAGATAGGTGCATTATAAGATATATTGAAATTTTATTTTCTACTATGCTGGAAACATCTTTTTTTCCAGATAATGGAAAATGCCGAAGTCAATGCCCTCTTGAAAATTATTGGTCTTCAATATCGTTTAAAATACGTCAAAGATGAGGATATGAAAACTCTACGATATGGCAAAATTATGGTTATGGCCGATCAGGTTTGTTCAGGGAACTGCATGGATTTCCAAAAATAAAAGACTTTAACTAACAAAAGAGATATTCTATTCAAGTAAAGTACCGTCTGCTGTTAGGTTTTTTGTAGATTATATGCTAAGCAAGTAGTGACGGTTAGAACATTCAAGCGATTTTTGTAGTGTTTTTTGTTGGATAGAATATAACTACTCATACCGGCTGGAAAACAATTCCCACACTTTGGATCCATCATTAATGGATTATTGCTTACTTTCATTGTGATGGAGTTTTTCTAAAAACTCTGAAAGTTAAGAGTAGTTTGTATCTTGATATTTTGACATACATGAATATATTTTACTATTTCAAAATGCTTCTCTAAGACTAGTGTTTCTTACAAAAACTTGATGAACTAGATTATTAGTATTTTCTATCATTTTTATTTTCTCTTTATCATGTGTTTGTTAGCAAACAGCTTAGCAATTAAAGCGATTGTTTTACTTCAGGATCAAGATGGATCACACATCAAAGGATTGGTCATAAATTTCATACACTATAATTGGCCAGCATTGGTTAGACGAAATTTCGTTGAAGAATTCATTACTCCAATTGTCAAGGTTTGGAATTTTTGCGCATTGTTCTCAATTGATCAAGACTGAAGATTCTACTGATTTATCAAAATTGCTGATTGCAGGCAACAAAAGGCAAAGAAGAAATTTCATTTTTTTCATTACCAGAATACAGAGAATGGCTTAACAATACAGAAAATTGGAAAACATATCGCATTAAGTACTACAAAGGTATGTGCAGTAAGAAATAAGACTGAAAGATATTCAGATCTCTCATTGTACATAAGAGGCGCAATCACTAATGCTTCCATTCATTTATAGAATCAGATTTTTACAGGTTTGGGTACTTCGACATCGAAAGAAGCGAGGGAATATTTCATGGACATGCGGAGACATAGAATACAATTCAAATATAATGGCGAAGAAGATGATCAGGCACTTGATATGGCTTTTAGCAAGAAAAAGATTGAAGAACGGAAAAAATGGCTTACGAACTGGATGGCTGTATGTTGTATTATTTAAGATGTTTGAAATGATAATTTTTCTTAATATAATTTTCCACTGGATATGGCTCCAAAAAAAAAACAGTATAAAGAGCGTCACTTCTAACCTGCCTTTTCGAGACATTGAGAAAATTTATATTTCCTTGTTAAAATTCTCCTGTCCTCCAATGAGAGGAAGATTTTAACAAGGAAATATAAATTAGATCCGAGAACAATGCAATTCAACGATCTTATATGTTCAGGAAAGAAGAAGTCGTCGAGAAGATGGTTTAACGGAAGAATATTTATATGATAAAAATACCCATGTTGTTTCGTTCAAGGATTTCGTCAATAAGGAGCTTGTCCTTTTTTCGAATTGTGACAATGAGAGATCGATTCCAAGTTTGGTAGATGGTTTGAAGCCTGGACAACGAAAAGTAAGTACTGGCATTAAATGATGTATTCACACCACTAGTAAATCCTTACTCTATTCGTATTAGACTAAGTGGGATTTACTTGTAGTTCTATTACTGTCGTCTTCAACTACTCAAAATATTTGTTTTTTAAAGGTTTTGTTTACATGCTTTAAACGAGCTGACAAAAAAGAAGTAAAAGTAGCTCAGTTAGCTGGTGCTGTTGGTGAAATGTCTGCTTATCATCATGGCGAGGTTAGTGTTTTATGTTAAGTTTCTATGAAATATATAAATATTTTTCGGTTGAAATTAAGACTTCAAGTTTGTAGTGCTTGGTCGATATTGCTTATTTGTTTTTAGATTTTAAGGAATTTCAAAAGTTGTTATAATTAAAGTTTTCCTGCAGTATTGCGCACGATATCTATGACGATTTCGGATATTTGTCGAAAATGTTTTGAGCATCGAGAAAAAGCCATTATTATGATTTAGAGAAAAGAAAAAAAATAGAAAAACAAAACAGAGCATAAATAGTAGTCACTTATTGTGAAAGCTCCAACGTCGGCCATTACAGCCATTTACAATTATTACAAACAATATGTGTAATGACCAGTTATGCTTTGTATACAGTTCTCATTAAATCAAAATATTTGTATCGGAGCAGTTTAGGATAGCATAATATTTAGAGACATTGTAGGCATCACTGATGTCAACAATTGTGAATTTGGCACAAGATTTTGTGGGCTCAAACAATATCAATCTTTTATTACCAATCGGACAATTTGGCACACGTTTGCAGGGTGGCAAAGATAGTGCCAGTCCACGTTATATTTTCACTCAACTCAAGTAAGCGAATTCTCAATTATTGACATAAAAATTACGCAGATATGTTAAGTTTTTATTTTTTAAATTCTATTTTTGCGATCATTTTTCATCTTTGTTTTTCTTTATAATTGGCAATATAGTAATTTATATTTTACAAAAAAAATTGTTAGATATACATATAGACGAATAAAAATAAGAAGCATACAAATGTCACATAACTTGCAAATGTCTGAAATAATTTCAGTCCTGTAACGAAAGCATTGTTTCCGTCTGTTGATGAAAATGTTCTTCGTTTCTTGTTTGAAGAAAATCAGAAGATCGAACCTGAGTGGTATGATTTGATTTAATTAGTTTCTCTTAATATTTTGTCAATAATATGTCAATGCAGATGATCTAATTGCAATTGTAAATTCATGCAGGAATGGGTCAGCTGCTAGTGAAACTTGAAAATTTTTATAAATTTCCAAACCATGGGTGGTTCTTTTTGCAATCGGAATCTTTTTTCTTAAGCGAAAGCTAATTTTAGGTACTGCCCAGTTATTCCCACCGTATTAGTAAATGGTGCAGAAGGTATCGGCACAGCTTGGTCCACAAAAGTACCATGCTATAATCCTCGCGAAATAGTAGATAATATGCGCGCTTTAATCGATGGGAAAGAGCCGAAGCCTTTGGTAAGGAAAATTCAGGAAGTGCAAAATTATAGATAAACTTCTTTCATATTCACCATCAAACTATTTACATCACACTGTTTAGTTTTATAATTATTTTATTATTGAATATTTGGAATTTGTTACAATTTGCATATACTGAAGCATTTTATTTTTTAATGCAGAAAAGCCAAATGTTTATAAATTGCATTTTTGTCAAATAACTAATGTTTATAGATACCATGGTACAAACATTTCCGTGGTACCATCGAACAACTTGACGATCAACGATTTGTTTGTAATGGCGAAGTAGCGGTTATTAACAATGAAACTATTGAAATAACTGAATTGCCAATTCGTACCTGGACACAAACTTACAAGGAAACAGTACTGGTGCCCATGATGGATGGAAGTGATAAGCAACCAGCAATTATAACGTAAATTTAGTCCTTTTCCAAAACTACCGTTAAGATTATTTGATCTATTATTAAAGTTATTTAATTCCATTCGTTATAAATTTTGTAATTGAGTAAAACATACCTTTTCTTGAATATCTTGCTGTTCCCTTGTTTCGGTGCGCTAAAAATTAAAAAAAAAGAGCGAAAGTTGAGGGATGTGTGAGATAGTAATTCCTAAGTTTGAAATAGTAATATGATTTCGATACTGTTTTTTAATTACTACTGATTAATCCGAAAACAAAAAGTAAAACAAACCGATGTATTTACAAACGTTTTATTTGCTCTAATGGTTGTGGCAAGTGAAATTCGTAACGAATACTGATATTTCAGAGATTTCAAGGAATATCATACTGATACAACTGTTAAATTTGTTATCAAAATGAATAGTGATAAACTGCGGGCATCTAAAGAAGAAGGTCTTCACAAAGTTTTCAAATTGCAATCTGTCATCAACACTACTTCGATGGTACGGCGTGATTTAATAAATGACTAAAAAAATATTTAGCGAATCGTGAAATAAAAAGGAAATACACATATACAAAATATATATAGTTAAGTCATTAAAATACCGTTTTTTTATCCAAAGAACTTTCTATATTCAACCTAATTGGAGTGATAAACTGGAATTGATGCCTAGAATTTTCTCACATATACAAGATTATGATCTCCTTTTCAGGTGCTTTTCGATCCATTTGGATATTTGCGACGATTTGAAAATGTTATAGATATTTGTAAAGAATTCTTTGAAATACGTAAGAAGAAATACATTGAGCGTAAAAGATTTCAAGAAGGTCTGTTGCGAGCACAGAGTGAGCGACTCTCAAATCAGGTAATTTTTTTTCAGTTAACTTATAACAGTTATATTTAAATGTTTCGCACATATTTTTAAATGTATTGTTACGATCACTGACACAAATGTAATTATTAAACGACTGTAAAATAATTGGGCGTTAGAATTTTCATTTAAACTTTCTCTAAAAGGATGACATCAAAACCATAATTTTTCCATTCAGGTTTTCAATTATGAAATATGAAGAGTTTGATATTTAGGCAAGGTTTATTTTGGCTAAAATAAAAGGAGAAATATTGATCGAGAACAAGCGAAAGGCTGCAATTGTTGAACAGTTGATAAAAATGAGCTTCAAGCCAGACCCCGTCAAGAAGTGGAAAGAGGAGATAAAAAAGCAGGAGTTAATGATGTTGGGAGAGGTGGCACAAGATGAAGATGACGAGGAACAAGAGGAAAACGAAGAGGTCAGTTCAATTCTAAAATCAAATTTATGATTTATTGATATAAATAGTTAATTTCTCGTTTTATTATAGTGTGTATTAACCTTATTTTTCAGGATATACATCAGAATAAGGAGTTGGCTAGCAAATTAAGCGATTACGATTATTTAGTGGGTATGGCAATCCTAAAGCTTTCCGAAGAGGAAAAAGATAAACTGTTGAAGGAAAGTGAAACAAAACTGAGTGAACTGAAGGTATGTTCTGCAATTATGCTATTATTTCAATATAAGTTCCAGTTTGTATGTATTAGTCTTCCACTCGCTGCTTGATTTGGTTCCAAAAGCAAGTAATGTTTCCCAAAGTACTATGATATATAATAAGATAAAATGAGACATCGAAATCTGTTTTCCGTGGAACTTACTGTAAAGATAGAAAAAGTTTTCCGCTAGAAAAATTTTGCTTGTATTTTTTATCAATTTCTCGAAGTTCAATTATTAAAGAAGCTTTCGCCTTGAAAAAACTGTATTCAAGAATGTTTAAAAAACATTAATTTTTAGTCGTTGGAAGAAATGACGTGGGCAGATTTGTGGCGTGATGATTTGGATTATTTTCTTGCCGAACTCGAAAAACAGGTATCATATATGTGACTTATCAACAGCAGTTTGGAGAGGCGGAATTATTTAATGGATTGAATATCTCTCTGCTACACAATGAATACGTGCGATCTAGAAAATGATTAAATCTATTTGTTGTTCAGGATATTAATGCTATTATGAAATTTGTTACATTGCTTTCAAAAAAAGAGAAACAAAAGTCTTTCGAATATTGGTTATTTTCTGTTTCAGGAAGCAAAAGAACAAGCTGATCTTGATATACAGATTAAGAATGCAGCGAAAAAACTACAATCTGACATTAGCAGCATCGGACGAAAAAAAGCCGCTGTTGGTCTAGTTAGGGCAAGTAACTTTACTTTCTCCATTTCGTCATTCTTACAGCTTTTTCACTTCGATGTTTTGGAAATTATAATTTGAGAATTTTAGAAAACAGGTGCGTTTTTTTCTTTTTTGCCTTTGATTAAATTGAAAATTATAACTTCATTTGTGAAAATATTTCTGACGAACTGGTAATTTTGTTTAATTTTGGTATTTTATCTAGCAAATATACAGGAAGTGTTACCTGATCCATTTGCTGAGCGGGTGATACCAAAAATTGATGCAATGAAAGAAAAATATGAGCAGAAGAAAGCTTGTGAAGGCCGTGCTGGAAGGCGCAAATTACTTGCTGTGAAAGAATCAAAGCGTGAAGGAGATGATATGCGCAAATTTTTCAATCAAAATGGAAATGGTAAGCAAGAAAATCAATCGAAGGTGAAAGGTAAGCAAGGAAAGCCAAGAAAAGGTTAATTGGACTTCACTATTTTCGCTTATTCTATTGTTTAAAAACGATTATTATACGTGGGCCTATATGTTACCATGTGATGTAAATTTTAATAAACGTGTATATCATAATCAGATAAGCGGTGATTTAAATAGGAGATAGATGCTTTTTAGCACTCCATAGTCTTGTTTGATATGCAGTTGATCATTAGTTAAGGTAGCATACCGAACGAAATTATCAGTTCGGATAACTGCTAGAGTTTCTGATTGAAAGCTTGAAATATGAATTTTGTGATATCTGAGAATGCATTTTATTGTTTTACCTATTAAAATGGCTATTAATTTTTGCTTGTAGATGATCAGAGAGATGAAAAAGATGTCGTTGAAGAATTATCCGTGCACGAGAGCAGTGATGACAGCGTTATTGCTTTACCACATGCTAAGAAGCAAAATATTAATAGCAAAAATGATGTAAGCTGGTGTTCTGTTTAAAATTTATGGGATGTAGCATTTGTCGTGAGATTATTTTACTTTCTATTTTGTATGGAAGGTGAAACGCTTGCCGTTGTAGTTTCTAAAGAAGTGTTAAAAAACGTTAGGATAATAGTTAAATAGTGGCAGTATTTGTATTGTTTTTTTTCAGTTTGCAATGCAAACTTTATGCAGGAAATTTTGTCGAACTTTGCAATGTGCGATGCATGATCCCAGTTTTTTTTTCTTGAAATGATGGCACTTGTAGCATTTTACAGGTTGAAAAAGTAAGAGACGTTCAGCGAAATGTAGCCTCAGAAGGTGAAAAAAATAGCAGAGAAGGAGGCAAGCGAGAAATGATCGAGAAGAAAACAAAGCAAAAACAGAGTTCTCCAGCGATGCGTATGGAGGATTTCTTTAGACCCGTATGTATTGGCTACTTGCTTTTTGCACAACGAAATTAAAAAATTTAATAATATCAGTTTCGTTTAGATCTAAAAAAGAAGTGGATTTTCGCATTTGTATGCAGAACTAGCATAATTTTAAATAAGCATGATAACTTTGCGAGATCTTAATTGATACTAGAAGTTGGAATAGCTTTAAGATCAAATATTTGCCATGAATTGATAATAAAAAGAAACAAGGAGACCGACATTGTGAAATCTTTTATTCGTGTAACGATCATGTACGATATGAAATGTATAGGGGCATTCTTTGATAGTGGTACGATATGGGAATTATTGAGTAGTAAGTTTGATAAATTGCTGAACTAAATGAAAAAAAATGTGTACATATCTGTGCTTAATAAAATCTTGTCATTTTTGTAGAAAATTGGAAAGAAGCAACAGCGGCATCAAGAGCATTCCAGTGGATCAGATCCGGAAACTTCCGATGAAGCTGGACCATCAGGACAAAAAGAACTTCCTTTACGCCGAAGAGCTCGCGTAAATTATAATGTTGATGTTGATAGCAGTGATCATGACAATGAGGATGAAAAAACGAAAGATGACTCTTTTGTCGTTCCTAAGAAAAAACGTAATAGGAAAGTGGTTGAAAGTGATAGTGATGAGGATTACGAGATGCAGCTTAGTAGTGATTAGCTGATAAAGACATTTTATCGGAACATGATAATTCAAACTTATGTGCAGAATGAAGATTACCATATATGAGAAATTTGATATTTTATGAATAATGCTTGCAAAAAAATCAATCACTTTTGTTTTTTATTTGTTAATTTTTTGGATGCAATTTTTATGTCATATCTGTTTTTTATTAGAAAACGGTTTTTGAAGCAAAAGTCCTATCTATTGGCGTTTCTCTTTACGATCAAATTTTGTTTTCATGTAATTCTCTTAATCTGATTACTGCTTATTTTTACCTTAAATACGGTTTTTAAGTATTTTTCGAATGCTATACGGTGGACTTCCATTTCTTAAAGTATGTTAATTTTAGCATTTTTAAATCTTTTGCTCTACAACATTTAAATTTCTAGTATTAATAAAATTTTACTACTACATTGGTCCCAGAATTAAAGGATAAGAAACTGAACAAGTTCTGAAATTCCGAAAATAAAATTTGAATCATATTATTTGCTTATACTTATTATTCTGCCTTTTCAAACATTTTCTGTGGAAGGAAGCCAACCAAATCAATATAACATTCTTCTTTACAGTGGAAACCACCAAATCCTTAATACTTTTGAAATGCTTACTTTGATATCGTACTGTTGTTGAGATATACCCTTTTTTTTGAATATAGTAAAACTATAAAATCATTCCGTGCACAATTCCAGATTTGTACAAAATGGTTTTCAACCTATTAAATTTCTGGAAAAAAAAGTAGACTAAATTTATTTGTGCATGAGTATTGAAAGGTGTTGCGGGAAAAAAAAGTCTTGCAAATCTTCCGGAATAATTTTGATACTGGTTCTTCCAGTAAGGATTGCTTTCTGTCTCAGTGAACTTCCGACATTGCAGAATTCGTTGCGCTGGATGTGTGAGTTGCACAATGATCCGTCATGCTACTGTAATGTTTACTTTGATGGTTATAGGTGGAATAGTACAGACCAGGGTTTGTGTGTGAGGTGAAGGGTCGCGTTAATAGTGGTAGTGGAGAAGATTTCGGTGTATTTCTTTCAAATTTTACACCACATTTATCCGTTTACGTGTTATTCTACGTTAACGTGATGAAATCAAATGTAGAACTGAACGGCTATGCAGACATTTTCTTTTGGTAGTATACCATCATCAACATTCACGTTAAAACGTGAAAGCTGCAGAAAAAAGATTGACGCTGAATGAATTTGACAAACAATATAAATGCTATGCGTGTTGAATCGTCGCAAATTTTCCTGGATTTCACATCTCTTTCATATGTTTTATTTAAAAGCCCTTTAGCTGACTAAAGCTACATATAAGAAGGATCAAAATTGAATGAATGGATGAGGATGGGCTGTTGTTAATTCAAATTCGAAAGTTTCCATTCTTGATGATTTCAAAATCTTCCTCTGAGATTTTTAATTTTTTTTTTTTGAAATGCAATAGAAATTCCAAGGTACAATAAATGACACTATTGTGGAAAGGATGGCGTTTGCTGTCGAATTGTAACGTATGCTGAATATTGCAATATTTTTGAGATTAAAATTACGAGTTCTTCCTATTTGGTTCACGGTACACCTGTCTACAATATCTACACTCTAGGTAAATTGATCATCATATTGTGCATATTGTGCTTTACTTCATCAATGCTTTTATTGTTTAAAAACTTATAGATAATCAGCAGATTTACTTTATTTTGCAAATCTCGCCAACATCAACCTAGCTAAATCATAAAACTTTCTTATGTGCTTCTTACTATTTTATCTTTTTCTCATTGTGACAAGGTGTTGCTTATTTTGTATCTTTATATGATATGACATACCACTTGTTTCATAGATACCAGTGAAATGATATCCCAAAAGGTACTCGAATGCGAGTGAAAACTTTATTTCGTTAATTAGTCACCGGGACTTTTTTTGCTACAGATGAGACCTGAAATGAAAAAAATTGTAGAAGGTAACGGATTATGCTAAACCAATCTCGATGAATATTTGGGGATTTATGTAGGAAGCTAGCTGAATAAGATATTTTGATCTCAATTCGTATTTCTACGAAGATTGAAATTATGTAGGCGCTGTCCAGAATGGAACGAATATTTTCGTTGAGATATTGGTTGAAATGTTTTACAAATGAATTAGTACTTCCATAAGTGTAGTTGCATATTAATACATATTTGGCGGTCAGAAGTTTGTTTTACTTAATGGACTTCATTAATCCTATGTAAATTTACAATAATTTGGTGTTAAACGAAGTTTCTAATCCTAGCTTATTTGAAAATAGCTTTGCTGATTCGTCATCATTGTAACTATCGAGTTTTCTCATGTGTTCAGTGGCTTACAATGGATGTGGAAATTTAGTAAACAGTAAAAAAGAAAAGATTTTTTTGATTCATGCCTATTGATCGCTTTGAGAACAATTCGGATTTAGCAATTTTGTTCGAACAAAAATGTATGGGAAAGTTGACATGTTTTCCTTTTCTTTCCTTTCTGATAACCTATATTTTGCTCAGATATCAGAGCGCAAATGACCAGATGTGATGTTGGACACTTTGGACTCAGTGTATATAATTACCGATGTGATTATCCATACCCAGGTATCATCCTAATGCCCAGATATCAAATCCAAAAGTACAGATAAATGAAGTGAGTAGGTAGTGAAAAAATATAAAAATTTTCAAAATCATAGATTTCTGTTGTAATAATTTTGAAAGTATGGAATCTATGTCCGAGGGAATGATCTTTCCTGTCTTAATTATCATGAATATTTATGAAGTAAAATTGATATTTGATTCACTGATATCTTATAAATACTTCACTTCTTTAAAGGGACAAATTTTATTCAAATAATGAGAAAATGATTAATGAATTATACTAAGCTAAACAAACATTATCATAATAAGTTGTTTTAATTTCATTCTGATTCTGCATTTTTCGCATTTAGTACTTTTTCCATTATAAAGAATATTTTAAGATTTCGATAGAGTACAAGTACGGTTTAAAAATAACATGTTATGTGATGAATATGCTTGAGATTGCTTTCATAGTGTATTTTAATTAGATGTGACCAACCTTCATTATAATGTGGCTGGTAAGTTGTGGCATGCATTACAAAAATCAGTTTTTCCAATTCGATTACATTTGAGAGCATATACATTGGAATTAATTATCGCTAAATTCATGGTGTTAATCGAACTAATGCTACGTCATACATAAGTGAAATGATGTTCAGTTCAAAATCAAAATCGTCTTTAACACTGTTAAGATCAAAAATCAGAATGACACTATCAAACTGAAATAGTATTTCTATTGATTGCTCTTCAGCTCTTCAGTTATTTACATATCATTCTGGAGAGTAACAAATGTTAGTCACATATGTACAGGGTGTCTGCGAAGAATTCTGTTTCTTGCTGTTCAGGGTCAGGCAATTATATCTATTTCTGAGAACTTAAGATTAGGCAATCCGGAACATGTGCAGCAATAATGAACTGGAATTTCAGCCGATGATAAAGTGTACTTAAAAAAAGAAATACATAAATAGTAGTATCTATCTTCAGAAACAGAAATATTAAATAAGTTTTGATCAAAAATGCGAAAGATTTCTACAAAATAAAGTGAAATTCTGAAAATATTTGTAAAGCGTTTTTATATTCTTATAATCTTATACCTGCAATAAGAAATTCATTTCGCTTAATTTTTTTGGTTGAAACATAAAAAATTATAGCACCGGTATTTCCAGAAAATGAATGTGTATTAATGACCTTTTGTATAATAAAAAAGTTCATGCTCGATTTCTAATCTTTCTCTCTTTCTCTTTCTCTCTCTCTCTCTCTCTCTCTCTC